GAGTCCAAGAAGTAGAAAAGAGCCCAGAGAGTCAAACCCTTCAATAGTAATTTATAAAGAACTGTTACATTAGGTAGTACAAAATGATACATAACCATTCCTCCTGAACTCACCACCTGCAGAGAAATGACAAGATTGTACATGTGGATTACAGAAACACAACTGTATACAGAACATTGTACTCTGAACTTTAAATTACCCCAACATCCAGAGAGAAGCGATCTTCAACAAATATGGATTTAATGATCCATATGAAATGATGATGCAGGAAGAGATGCTCTGCTCTGAGTATGTCACTGCCCTGGAATCACCTGTGCTGGAACCATTTTTCCTCCTGAAGTTATCCAATATATTTTGATTGAAACCTAAGACCAAAGGCTAAAATCAAAGCTTCCCCAGTCATATTTCAGGTGAACTTGGTGAGCTGCTGAAAACCCTCATCCTACTAGACTGTCACTTGTCTCTTAACTTTATAAATGTGCATCACCTCCTAGAATTGGGCATTTCCTTGGTCCATGTCCCCCAGTTAGCATAGGACCTTGCCAGGCACAGACAGGGAAGTGTCTGCATGGCCTGGGCAGTCTAAGTCCCTGCTGTTGTAACAGAAAATCTGTAAGTAATGTGGTTTCATAGTTTAATAGATCTATAAGATAGAAATCTGTGCCATACCTATTTAACTCTTCTAAGGCATTACAGAATCAAAAGTCTAAAACTACACAGGATATAAGATACAAAATGTCTAAAGGAACCGAATCAGAATTGCGTCATGACTTCATTGCCTACTGCTTTAAACTCTCGACACATCTAGGCACAGGCCCCAGAATTAGAAACTTAAATTAAAGCATTGTGCCATGAAGTTCAGCAGATTTTCTCTGATTCTTCTCCCTCTGAGAACAGGGGCAATCTATTCCCTTCTTAACACAAGCTGACTCTCCCACTGTGCCAGTCATCCTATATAAAAACATGAGCACTTGACCAGTGTTGGCTTTTAGAATATCAACTTCCTTGTCTCCTCTCTTCTCCCCACACTGTTACTTTCCAAGATAGATTAATTGATTATCTGACAGTTGAGACACAACTGCTTGGATTTCCTAGCCCCTACAACCATGATTTGGGTGGGGACTCTCTTCATTACAGCCTTTGGAATTCCCCCCTTTGAGGCAACAATGCTGATAACAGAAGGGACTGAGATCCATACCATTACAAAACAGTCACATGGCACACAGCAGCATTTTCTGTAAAAAAATGTTTTCTCCTGTATCTTTCCAAAGCTTTTATTCCACTATACACAGCTTCAATGTTATGAGTATGTATGGGGCACTTATGCTCTTGAAGGAGGTGTCCCTGTATTAAGGTTTAGAGTTTCACACTTGCTGTCCATAGTCATTAGTGGCAGTGGGCTATGGCTTCCAGAGGCCATTCCAAATAGATTCCTATCAAACAGCATTAGGCAGGTAAGACGTGACATTGCCAAAGTTCATCCACTGCTCTGAGTGTTTTTCAAGATCAATATGTTTAACACCTGCTATGGTACTGTCTAATTCAAGTCAAACCACTTTGATCCCTTTCTATTTGCCTCAAGGCTACAACCAATAGAAAACTTATGTTGAAGAAAGACCAAAAACTCCCCTCAGATATCACTGACTGTACACAATTCTGTTTACAATAAAAAGGAATTCAGTTATGATACTGCAATTGCAATCTTTTACATCTATACAACAAGCAAAACTGCTTCTAAAGGTGGTGGACCGGATCATGACAGACACAAAGAGGGCTATCTTTCCTTGACGTGGCCATTGGTGAGATAGGCTCTGTTGTTCAGTGGCTCAGACCCATTCCTCTGGATGTAATTGCTGCTCGTGACATTGCTGAAATGTACGATCCCATTTTTCTCCTTTTCCATCATGTTTTCTCTTTCTTCATCCACATCACTCTCTTCTGTTTCACTTCTCATGTCCTTTTCCATCTACAAAAAAATGTAAATGAGAAACAGTTCAAATGCAGAAGTGCACAAGAAGCAGTGCTAGCTGAGCCACTGGCTGAAACTGCTCCTTCAGCCACCTGCCTGCAGCATGCATTTTTGCAGTGTGCTTTTAGCTTTAGTTCACCTTTGCAAACAGTTTGATTTCTGTCCCAATTAAATCTTAACTGTGACCCTGATATTCATTATACAAACAGGTTGAAGCAGCCCCAGATCACAGCTGCCCAGGAGTGAAGACAGCCATGTCAGACTGAAGAGATTCACACTGCTGCTTTAGGCATCACTGTGCAAAAGAAGGGAGGAGAAAGACTGTTCGTCAAAATCTTATATTTTCCAAAGGGGACACAAAAATAGCTTATGGGTGCTGCAAGTTGAGCACCCAGAATCACAGGATCACAGCACAGCCTGAGTTGGAAGGAACCCACAGGATCCCCGAGTCCAGCTCCCGGCCCCACAGCACTGCCAAAACCCAAACCCCGGTGGTGCCCCAATGCTCCCTGAGCTCCAGCAGCTCAGGGCTGTGGGGCCTTTGTGCTCCACAGCATGCTGCTGCCTCAGATCCAACTCGCTCTCGACTAGAACCCCCTGGTCTCATTTTGCAGGCTGCTGTCCAGCCTCTCATTCCCTGCCTGTAGCCATGGCCAGGGCTGCACACCCAGGGGCAGGATTCGGCTATTGCTCTGGCTGGACTTCATGCTGCTGGGGATTGCCCAGCCCTGCCGTGTGTCAAGGACTCTGCAAGGTCTCTCTGCCCTTGAGGGAGTCAACAGCTTCTCCAATTTAATGTCATCCATGGACTTACTCAGTTTACTTTCAATTCCTGTATCCTGTATCCAGTAAAAAGGACAGGCTCTAGAATGGAGTCCCATAGCTGGCTGCCAGCCTGATGTAGCCCCATTTATCATAACTCTGTGAGTACAACCTATCAGCCAACTGTTTACCCATCGCATTATGGTTTGGTCTAGCTGTATGCTGGATATTTTGTCCTGAAGGATACCATGTGAAAGAACACTGAAAGCTTTGGGGACAGCCAAAAAGATCACACTAGCTGGCTTCCCTTGGTCAGTGAAGTGGGATCCTTGTTAACTGCATTAAATAGGACCTTCCTCTCATGAACCTGTTGGCTGTGATCAGTGAGCACAGGCTGTTTTCTTCCCAGCCACTGAAGTCAATATGACAGACCTGTAATTACCATGATCTTTTTTCTTGCCCTTCTTGGAAACTGGGAGAATGTTTGCCAATTTCCAGTTTACTGGGACCTCTCCAGACTCCTAAGACTGTTGAAAAATACTTGAGAAAACTCTTAGAGTACCCTGGGATGAATCCATCAGGCCCTATAGACTGAAGTGCATCTAGCTGGAGCAGCACATCCCACATCACAGAGCTACTCTACATTCACATTCAGTTTTTTTTCTCTTGCTATCAAGAGATCTGTAGTCCACTTTTGTAAATATTTACTTCCTTGTCTTAAATAAAGTGATAATAAAGTGATAAAATGACAGATTAGAGAAAGCAACCTAACATTCATTGGCTTCTCAGGCTGCTTTTACTCTGCCATACAAGATGCCAAAATTGGGAACCCATTCACAGTGTCCATGTTCTTTGGAGGAAAGTGAACTGAGGGGAAGCTGCAAGCTTCATTAAGACTGTGTCCACTGCTGGATGGCCATCAATTTTCTATATATGTTCTTCTGGAGATATTTCTAGGATCACATTAGGCAGACTGAAGTCTGAAGCCTTTTTTAAAGATCTCCACACCCCAGAGCAGTTAGGAATCATAAGAATGTGAACTTGCACTGAATTCATACTGCCTGCAAGAGCAATAAGAATAGGAGATGCCACATGTTGTGAGCAATCTATGTCATTCTGGAATTCGCAGCTGAGGAACTATACACAGAGAGCATTGATCTGCAGCATAAGTACCGATAAGTAATCGGTAGTACTCTTTTAAGTGTTTTTTTTTAAATTCAGAGATGCAGAATGTGGCTGAGGCCTTACACCTAGCAAGGTCCCCAGAGGAACTAACTAGACAGCTGCATGAACTAAAAAGATGGTTGCTTCTATGAGGAAGTGAAACCTCTTACTTCAGGATGTGGATGAACCCTAATTACGGGGATTAGAGAACACCATATGTAAAGGTGATGCAGATTAATCTGTAGCCATGGAGGAAAATTACAGGGGTCAAAAAGGCTCCTAAGAAGAATATTTTGAACTGGAGTGAGAATTTCAAGGCTACTGAAAGGAGACAATACTCTCTTATCCTAATACTGCCTTGGGCTGTTATCATAGAATCAGAGAATATCTTGACCTGAAAGAAACCCACAAGAATCACTGAATCCAACTCCTGGTTTCACACAGGACTACATAAAAATTAAACTGTATGTCTGAAACCATCATTGAGATGGCTGCCCTTATGACAATTTTTCTTCTCTATTCGAGGCTCAATATGTAATGCTCTCAATTTTATTGTTTCATATCAAATATAGCAGGTAATTTACATTGTGTGGTTTTTTCTTTTTTTTTTTTTCTTTTTTCCTGAGATACAGTTAATTTTCTTTGTAGAGGCTCACATGATGCTGCGTTTTGGATATTTGATGAGAGTAGCTGTGTTTTAGTTGTTGCAGAGCAATGCTAGCTCTGAGTCAAGGACCTTTCTGCTTCTCACACTCAATGCGAGAGAGGAGCTGGGTGGACACAAGGGGCTGTGGACAGAACTCAAATTGGCCAAAGGGATATTCCATGCTGTACAACATCAGCAATAAAAGCTGGGGTAAAGGAGGAAGAAGGGCATGTGCAGAGTGATGATGTTTGCTCTTCCATGAAAGCATTATGCAAGATAAGCCCTACTTTCCTTGAAGTGGCCCATCCATGGGAAGTAGTGAATGAATTTCTTGTTTTGCTTTACCCAATAAACTGTCTTTATCTCAACCCAACAGTTCTCATATTTTTCCCTTTCTGATTGTCTCCCATCCCACCTGTGGTGAGTAATGAGTGGCTGTGTGGCATGTAGGTGCCTGCCAGGGTTAAACCACAACGCTTACAAATAAAATCTGAAAAAAATATGGATGTGCTCCAGCCTTCCTGATGGCTCATTTATTTCTAATAAAGTCATTTATTACCTCATCATTTAACACTGTAATAACTGCAGTGGCATTTCACCCC